TTGTCAGCCTTGATAACCAAGTCGGCTTTCTCCTGCAGCTCCAATGCAAGTTCTAAGGTTACCTCAACTTCTCCCATTGAAGGCCGTTCATTTGGCTTTATATATACACAATTGAGAGCGATCTCCACATATTCTATCAAACACACTGGTGCTATCTTCCCTTTCAGAAATGGATCGATTATATCATGAACACAGCCATTTTTGATGCATTTAATGATCCCGAAAATCAAATAAATGAAATCCTCGTCTTCTGCGAAGGGGTCAGTCGTCCTTCTACCACACAATACTTCTAACAGAACCATACCTAGTGAGTACACATCAACTTTTTCACTGATGAATCCAAGATTTTTGTAGAACATCTCTCCAGCCATATAGCCCAGGGTAACTCTTGCTGATGTCATCATTTCTTCCCAAGCGTTGTGTTTTGCTGATGTCATCATTTCTTCCCAAGCGTTGGGTTTAGGCTTTGAGAAGCTAGAGGGCCCAATTAGGGATAATCCAAAATCTGAAAGCTTAGCATCCCAATTTTCGTTCAGAAGAATATTGTGAGGCTTGACGTCGCGGTGAATTATTGCATACTTTGCACCTGTGTGAATGTAGTGTAATCCACGCGCTGCCCCAATACATATCTCTAGTCTCCGCTTCCATGGGAGCGGATCAGCATTCCCAAAAACATGACGATCCAATGACCTATGGGTCATATGTTCATACACAAGGATCCTCTCATCCTTCTCGTGACAAAGCCCGAGGAGACAGACAAGATTCTGGTGGCGCAGCTGGCAGAGTAACTCTACCTCATTTCGGAACGCTTCAACTCCTTGTCCTGATGATGTTGATCTATTCAAGCGTTTGACAGCGACAACCAAGGAGCCTCCATCAATGAGGCCTTTGTACACTGGGCCAAAACCACCTTCACCGATTTTCAAATCATCATCAAAGTTGTTGGTGGCAGCTTTGAGCTCAGCCAGTGAAAATTGACGACATAGTCCCTCTGAAAGTGCTGAAGGTTTTCTTCCCCTTTCTTTAACTGATGTTTTCTTGAGAAATTTGAAGAAATTTTG